CTCCTTTAAGAGCAATGGGAGAGGAGCAGAATGGGTGGCCAGGGAAGGTTCTCAATAAATGCGTCCACATGACACCCATCTCTGAGGAGGAACTGCATCTCCCCAGCTTGTGGAAAGATTATATTCCCAAGAGATGCACATTCATGGCTTGGGGCTGTCTTTGCTGAAGGCTGATCATTGTTTCAATGAGAATCAAAGTGGAACAAAACACAGAGTCGCTTTTACGATAATTAAAACTATTTTGGATTTTTTATTTATCAATCTGGTTTCTAATATAATCTTAGTTAAATGAAAGACATTCACAAAGGATATTAGGCATACGTACATGGTTCCCTTCGTTCATTCTAGTTTACATGCTGCTGCTTTTAGAGAGTGAAGTTCCGTGTCATTTCATAGGGACAGAATCCTGACTGACTTTACAGAAGGAATATTTAGCCTGACTTTTCATGACGCTAACCTCCGTAGTCACCATGCTCACTGAACAAATAAAAACCCCAGAGAAACGAAGCTCAGAATCAGCGACACTGAGAACTACTTCTGGGCCACCGCAGTCCAGCGTTCACTAGGAATGGGCCGAGGCTCGGAAACGGCGTGAACCGTCTGCGGAGACCTGGTCAGAAAGCACATTTTCACCTGGAAAACAAACTTGCGGATGCATGTTAGACTTTGATACCAAGGGGCCCCTCTGCCTTTATTGCCTTTGGGTGGTCTTTGCTCTGTAGGAGGGAACCGACTTTTCAACACGACTTCCCTATTTCATTGACGAGCCGTTTTACATACACACGACTTGTCTCCAGAAAATACTGCTGGGAAAGGAATCTGAAGTTCCACCATTACCACGCAGAGCCAGCAGGCTATGCAAGAAGCCACCTTTGCGTTCCATGTTGTCTTACTTCTGGGCTGGTCCAATCACACGGAGGGCAGGGGTAAGCGGCCCGGCTCGCGCAGGGGGACCGAGCGCTTTGTGCGTGGGAGCCGGGTGTCTCTGACCTTGGGCTGCGCGGCCTCTCTGCTATGCTGGCAGGTTAGTTCCTGGCAGCCTACCTCATGAATAATTTAGCAGTTGTACAGCAATGCCCCCATGTCTCCTCCGCTGCCTGGACACAGCCACATTGTTTCTTTCGATGCGACTTAGAACTGCTGGCCAGAGAGTATGTCTTCCACTCAGCTCCATGGACGCGGGCCTGTGTATCTGTGTTTCAGAGTGATCTGCAGTCCAGAATCAGCGCACCTCGGGATTGTCGTACAAAGCAAGGAGAACAGCTATAACTGAAATACAGGCAGAGGAGGAGAGGTTCAGCGACTTGACGAAGGTCACGGAGCAAGGCACAGGGAGGGAAAGGGGTCCTTGCTCCCCAAGTATCACTTAAAAAATGGTGCCTACTGATTTCTTACCTACTTCACAATCTACTGGGACCAGCAGTTTCTGACCTGTTTTGGCTGGCTAACTGCAATTCAAGTTAATAATTCAATTTGATTATTTGCTGCCTTTTCTTTTTTGAAAACAGCTTGGTAGGATGGTGAAAAGGAGAACGTAGGAGGAGGTTCGAATCAGGTGCTAATCGTTTGCAGGCGGGAGACAGAAAGGAACCATCAAAATGTTTACATCACAGGAACAAGTAGAAGACAAGAAAAGAGCTGATCCTGTTGTAGAAGGAAGTCCAAGCTTCTCCTTGACCTTACATTGACGCCGTGCTTTCACATCTGGTAGCTGTGAGCTTTCCCCTCACGTGCGTGCTGCGTGGCGTGGCCGGCGCCTTTGCACCCGCCCTCAACCGGCGCCTGGCGGTCCCACAGCTACGTGCAGTCTCTTCGGCTTACGCCCAGTCTTTCTCCCGCGCCCCTCAACGCCTGCTCCTGTTGGTAAAGGTTGCTCGTTTGCGAAGTGCAGAGCAACAGAACATCTCCCAACAAAGGCACTCCACACTCTCATTTCTGGCTTTCCTGTAACAACTTCACCCAAGTCACTTTTTTGAGCAGTTGGTTGAAAGCCATGAGGGAAAAATACAGTCTGATGAAAAAGGGCCAGAGAAGTGCGTAACCATAGTATGGGGCAAGCTTCCTGGAGCTCTAGGGAACGTGTTCTTTTGAGAGCTTAGAATGAGAGCTTAGAATGGCACTGATATTACATTCCTTCAAAGTCCTCACTCCTGGCTTCTCAAAGCACAGGTGCTTGCTTTGTACACAGAAGACTTTTCCTGCATGAACCCTAAACCCAGTAAGAGCCTCGTTTTAAAAAATTGTTTGGGGTTTTGTTTTTGTGTTTTGGCCTGTTCTTAGGTCCCGATGCACTGCCACTGGCCTTTTGTGCTTGACTGATACTGCGAGGGACAGAGGGTGTCAAGGCTCGGCGGACTATGAAGGAAGACGAAGCGGGACCAGTCCTGAGCTGGGCCCCAGTGTTCAGCTCTCTGCACCTTCGAGGGAGGGAGCTGGAGAAAAGCCGGTTTCCTTTCTTCACATAAACAGATGACTTACTGTTTAGAAGCTACTGGGTGTAGCCTTCCCAGACTTAGGAATCACCGCGAAGCCCCCAGTCCCAAAGAGAAGCCACGGTTTCCAGCCTTCACTGGCGCTTACGACCTTATCCACCTTTCTGTGTCCTGTGTGCTGGTCCGATGGCAACCCCTTAATGGCAGAGGCTGTCACACCTCTGTGTGCCCTAAACGTCCCAAATGATGGCGATCCCAGCGGGCAGTCCAGTGCTCTTGGTGTGGAAGTTTGGTCAGAGAAGTGCCGGGCATTACTTTTAACATTTCATAGCAGGAAAGTGGAAAGAAGAGAGAAAAGAGGGAGGCTGAGAACATGTTAGTATCAGAGAACATTTTGGTTGTTTTCATTCTCTAGCCATTTGGGGAAGAAAGGGGAAGTGTTGAGACAAAGCAAAGAGAACAAAGCTACCAAGGGAAATGCAAGAAATAATCCATGTCCATCCCACATGATTTGCTAAGTACAAAGGTAATGCGGGTTAAAAATTGGAAACCTTTCAATAACAAAACATCTAAAATTCACTTTTTTGATTTGATAATACATAAAAGAACCACAAACAGCAGTCATCTTGGTTGAATCAACAGCCTTCGTTCTGAATGTCGTTCGTAAATGTTACAGCGCTCTGATGTTTCATTGTACTGCTTTCCATTTCTAATGCCTTTTATGGGAGAGTGATTGGGACCATACTCAGTGAAGGGGGTTCATGAAAGTGCCCCAGGTCAGCAGCTGGGAGAGGGTGGGTTCCTGCTTGTTCTGTTACCTTGACTTGAACGGGCCCAGCACCTTGTGTGGAATGAGCCTGTTCCTGTGCCACATGCCTCTGGCAACTCTGAGTAACGTTTTCCCTACTAAGACGCTGAGATCCTCCAGTAAGTTAGGCGTACCAAGTGTCTTGAAAAGTATGCCTATACAACCCAAGCAAACTAGGATTTCCATTTTACTGAGGCAGGTTCTTAGACAAATAGCATCAATACCTTTTTAACTCCATCTTACCTAGCAGGAGAAGGAAAAAGGTGATCAAATGTTGGGAGCCTAAAAAATTGTAAAAAGCGTTGATTAAGTATAAGAGCCTGAATTATAATGACCATAAATGGTAGTCATTCTAGGAATAACTTTTGTGTAATTTTTTATTAAATAAATGAAATTCTTTTAGATGTTCCAAGAGGAGCTTTGTCCCATTGGTTTATACACTAAGTCTATTATTTTTAAATAAAACCAGTGAGTTATTTGTTGAACTAAGTTGGTGAAGTCTCCTGAGCAAACTGAGGGGAGACTGGCCGGACAAGTCTGTTCTCTGAGAAGCAGCAGTTGGCGGCCAGGCTGGTGGTGAACCAGAGCTCCGAACGCATCCGCCCAAGGAGATCTGCGAATCGGGGCGGCGCGCCTGGTGCGGATGGAGCGATACAGGAGCAGATGGCTTAAGACCTGGCAGAGGATTTTCCCGGTGATTCCAGAGAACAGAAATAACAACAGCACTCATGACTTGGTTATGTTTGCTTGGTTATGGTGGTAAGTCCAGTCACTGCTATTTTGTCACAGGGACTTAAAAACTAGAGATTTAATCCAAAATGAGGACCACCTACTTCATGCACTCACCTAGAGAAAGTGCCTATACTCTTGCTACAACCACGAGAGAAACAGAGCAAATGCCTCATGCCATCTGGCTCTAATTCCTCAGTGAGGTGCTTACGCATCTGTATAAGGTGGCCCAGTATGTTGTGGGTAGAGCCGAGGAAAAATCTTTTGTAACGGTTGGTCACCAGTGGTAGGGACAGATACTGAATGGGCCTAAGCCCACAAACATTGAACAGCATGACCCCGTGGAATCTGGTGAAGAATTAAACCGGCAGCCCCAACAGGAAAGCACTTGCCCAGGTCCTTCAGCCTTCTCTGCTCTGTGCTGCTGGTCTGAGCCGGCGCCGCACCCTTCTTCCACCGGCTGCTTCAGGCAGGGACTCTCGGGAAACCGGCGCAGGCGCAGGTCTCCGTGAAAACTGGCAAATAACACGCTCTCCTTGCCCCTTTCTTTCCTTCTCTGACTTACAGGACACCAACAGAGAGTGAGTGAACGTGAACTAGTAACTACAGTAGCCCATTAAAAGCTGACTATATGCAAAAGGAAGAGAGTGCTGGAGGCCACGCGTCTGCGTATCAGCTTTCCCCAGGGAAAAATATCCACCTTCTAAGGGCTCTGAAAAATGTAGAAAACTTGCCCTGTTACCATGGGTTTTCAGAACATCTCTAAACACACACAAAATAAGACAGATATTACCTACAAATTTCAACCATTGCTTAAACTCTAAAAGCATTTTTGTATTTTTTTTTTGATACAGAAGGGAAAACTCAGCTATAAAGAAATATTAAAAAGTATTACTTTTTGTGTGTGTGGCGATCAGTCTCAAGAAATTTCTGTTGCTTGCCTCCCCCAACTTGTGCTGATACTTTAAAGATGTGCCCAAGAGTGTGAAGCAGGTGCTTTGGTTCCCTTCCCCTCCCCCTCCCTATCCCAACGCCAAACAGCCGCCCCTCAAATGAGCCATTCCTTTTTGCTTTCGTCAATGGTCTCTGTGAAGTTGGGGTCGTTGTTCATGATGGCAGCATCCGCGCTCTCAGCTGACTCTGCGCCCTTCGCCTCGTTGGTGTGGTAGGTTCCTTTGTGGCGGAACATGTACCGAATGAGGAAGACCAAGGTGCAGAGGATGGTGAAAATCACCACAGCGATGACCCCTGGTGGACACAGGACAGGCGACAGGTTCAGCGCATCTGTGTTTCTCCCAGTCTCCCAGCCTCCCCATGGTTCCCTCAAGTACCGCCCTCTCCCCTAAAGAACACAAAACAACGCCTCCTACAACTAACAGGATTGAAAGGAGAGTTAGACCAATTCACAATTACACTTGGAGATTTTCACACTCTTTCCTCAGTAATTGATAGAATAATAATAAACAGAAAATCAGTAAGAATCTAGAAGACCTAAAAAATAGTACTAACTTGACCTAAGGAACTAATACTAATCCTACACATCTTTCTTAAAATAGAGGCAGAGGAAATACTACTCAAACCTTTTTATGAGGCCAGTATCATCCCGATACATTACCCAGACACATTACGAAAAAAGGAAACTATTGAGCAATATTCTTCTTTAGTAAAGTTTCAGCAAATGAAACCCAGTAATATGAAAGACTATATTATGACAAAGTGGTATTAATTCTAGGAATGCAAGATTGGTTTAACATTAAAAAGTAAAGCAACATAATTTACCACATTAGGCAAATAAAGGACAAAAAAATATGATTATCTCAAACGATGCAGAAAAAGCATATGATAAACTTCACTCATTCATCATAAAACCTCTCAGGAAACTATCAATAGGAGGGAACTCTCTAGGGCTGATAAAGGGATCTGTGAGAAACCCATAGCTAATATCCTTCTTATTAGTGAAAGGTTAAACACACTCTCCTTAAAATACAGAACAATGTAAGATTGTCAGCTGTTAATACTTTTATCTACAATGGGACTGGAAGTCCTAGCCAGTGCAATAAAACAAGAAAAACAAAAAAAGTACAGACTGGGGAGAAGTAAAAATTCTTTATTCTCAGATGACATGATTATATATGTAGAAAATTCTAAGGAATATAAAAAAAGGTCACCAGAACAGTAAATTTAGCAAAGTCACAGGAAACAAAGTCAGTACACAAAAATCAATTGTGTTTTTATATACTAGTAGGAAACACTTGGAAAGTAAAAATAAAAAATACTATTTATAATAGAACAAATTGAATAAGGCTGTTTAAGACTGCACTGAAAACCATAAAACCTTGCTGAGAGAAATTAAAGAAGATCTAAATAAATGGATGGATATACCATATTTAAGGTCAATATTGTCAAGATGTTCATTTGCAGATCTCATGCAATCCCAGTGAAAATCATGGCAAATTTTTTTTTGGTAGAAATATATAAGATGATTATAAATTTTATATGGTAATGCAGAGGACTCAGGATAGCCAAAATAATTTTAGGAATAGAAATAATTGGAGAACTTATACAGCTTATTTCAGGACTTACTATAAAGATACAACAATAAAGTAAGTATGGTATTGACTAAGGAAAGTTAATATATAAAAACAACAACAACAACAACAGAATAGAGTGTCCACAAAATAGATACACATCATACGGTTATTGATCGTTGCCAAAAGTTCCAAGGAAATTATGTTGTCTTTTCAACAGGTTGTCTTGAAATAACTAGATATCTATTTGGAAAATAATGACTTTGTTTTTTATCTTACACTATATACAAACATTAACTCAAAGTGATTGTAGACTTAATAAAAACTAAAGCTATAAAACATAAAAAAAACTTCAAAACTTGGGGTAGAGAGATTTCTTAGAATTTTTAAAAATATAATAAACTATAAAAAGAGTAGAAAAATTGTACTTTATCAAAGCTAACATCTCCTGCTTTTCAAAAAATACCACTGAGAAAATCAAAAGGCAAGCCACAGACTAGGAGAAAATATTCACAATACATGTGTCTGACAATGGATTTGTATCCTGAATATAAAAAGAACTCCTACAAATCAATAACAAGAAGTCAAACAATCTAACACTCTTTTAATGGAGAATGATATAGACAGATACTTCACAAAAGATTTACAAATGACCATATATATATGAAAAGACGACCATCGTTACTAGTCATGAGATAATTGCACATTAAAACCACAATGAGATACCACTACTCATCCACTAGAGAGGCTAAAATTAAGAAAATTGACAATATGAAGTGCTGAGGAGATTGTGGAGAAACTTAACCTCTTGGATATTGATTATGGGAATGCAAAAATGGTCCAATCATCTTGGAAAACTAAATGGCATTTTCTTATAAAGTTAAAAGTCCACTTTTAATAACACCCAGCAACTATACTCCTAGAATTTACCGAAGAGAAATGAAAACGTATGTTCATACAAGACTTGTACAAGAATGTTCATAGCAGCTTTATTTACAATAGTCCAAATCTGGAAACCAAACATCTACTGACAGGTGAGTAGATGAAACAAATTATGTACATTCATAAAATGGAGTACAACTTGGCAACTAAAATGATGAATTACTGATATATGGAACAATGGGGATGGATCTCAAAAACATTATGTGGAACAAAAGAAATAAGGCAGGACACATGACATTCTATGTGATTCCATTTACATGAAACTCTAAAAGAGGTAAAAACTATCTATGTGAGAATAAGCAAATCCGAGGCTGCCTTGTTTGGGAGTGCGGCAAGGGGAAGAATGGACCACACAAGGGCCTAGGAGAGTTTTTTGTGGATGGGAATGTTTTTTATCTTCATTGTGGCAGATAGGGGTGTATGAGCGTCAAAAGTCCCTGACCTGTTGTACTTAAATAAGTCGATCTTAACAAAGCAAAAAGCAATGACCAGAAGGATTACACCGAACTTTGGAATTGTGACAGTGCAGCACTATGTATAATATATATAATGCTGTTTGATTTGTATATGAAATACATCTATGTGAGCCGTACTCAGAGCGGCGGAAACACCTTTAGGAACCAAGGCAGAAGCAGGGAGAGAATAAGGCAACGGGGCAGCGGGGCTGTCCGTACTGATCCAGACAGGAGGGACTGCCCTGGGGAGTCTAGCTCGTCCGCAGGTGTCCGTGGGCGGAAAAGGCGGGAATACACTGGGTCCTCTACAGCAGGCGGCACAGCCCCTTCCGTTTTGCAGTGGGCTATCCCGGACCGTGTGGGATGTGAGAGAAGGGGTGAAAAAAGACAGGAGGAAGCACAGAAATGTCCTGGCAACTGCCTCAGCCACCTCCTTACACAGTCAGACTCTGGCCGCTCGCCATTGTCATTCTTTTACAAGTCTGCATTAGAAAGTGGCCAGGTTCCATTGACCACGGCTTACCCGTATCCGTACTTCACAATCTGGAGCCATGTTTAAGTAGCAAATGAGTAATAAAAATCTAGACAGCTTGTTTTTCCCCCTCGACTATGATTTTATTGAAAATGACTCCTTCGCACAGGGGAGTAGCCAACTGGAAGCCGTTCCCTATGTCACCTACCTCCGATGATGGCTGAGTTCCTGTTGACTCCATTTCTTATTGCTTGGCCTTGTCCTGGGTTATAAGGAAAATCAGCACTGGCTGTAGGGAAAGAAATGGAAAGTCAGGTATATTGATGTTCGGAGGGAGGTATACCATCAACCCCACATAATTTGACGCCTGTGTTTTCAGAGAAATCTTCACTTCTGTTTTTCCCAATGAGATCTCCATTTCGCATGGACCCATCTTGTTACTGTTTCCCGAGAGTCACAGCGACCCACCTGCACGCCTGCTGGCTGCCCCCACGGGAGGCCCGGGGACGCACTGCCCGCCTCGGGAGGGGCAGCAGAGGGCCGGAGCCGCTGGGGCTGCCCGCTCTGTCCGCTGACAGACATGCTTACGCGTCACGGCGCGTTTTCTCACGTTCGGCTGTGGCCTGCCTCCTCGCCACTTTTATCCATTCCAAACTGGCGGCCCCGGCTGTGTTCATGGATCAGCTTTTTATAATACGCAGCATTTGTTTCAAAAGCAATCATCTCTCGATATTAATGTTTTACATGGCTCTAATAAAACATTGCACACTTCAGGAATATTTTATGAGGGGGTAATATTTCATGCGAGTTGAGAAGACTGTTAATTGCCTAATAAATATATAAAAATATCATCTTTTTAGAAATCTCAGCTTTTTCTTCAAACCTGAGATTTCTCTTTAGAGAAGTAGTATCAGTAGCTGTGACAAACAGATTCATTCATTGATTCATTCATGCATTCACTCATTCATGAAATCTTTGCAGAACGCCCACTACATGCCAGGGATGTGAGTGCTGGGTGTGCACAGTGAACTAAACAATGCAGACAAACATTGTTAGTAAGAGAACTTGCCGCGCCTCACTGGAGAGTCTGGTTTGCAGGGTCGACACTAATCTAAAGCTCGGGCGTGGTTTTCGTCGGGACCCGATCCACTTACGGTGAACTGCCTGAAATTTCTCGGTCGCTCCCACCCTCTAACTCATGCACTTGGTGGGCACCGGAAGATTTGGTCATTAACACACACGATTTATAGCCTCCTTTTAAAGACCAGGAGTCGCTTTTCAAGGGTGAAAGCTTATCCTTCCTTTGCTGCCCACCTTGGACACAGTGTCCGGGCCTGGGGACGTCAGTGCCCCCTCCAGACACTAGCCCATGTCCTTTTCAGGAGTCCTCAAGCTGGTACGTGGCCTTGCTGGGCTCAGGACCCAGGCAGGGCTAATGCCACAGTCACTGAACTTCCCTGTCCTGCCTTAGAGGGCTGGGGCGGGGGACAGGCAGGGGGCTGTGGAGGGGGTCCGGCCTCAGATAGTCAGCTTGGGCAGGGCCTGTGAGAGAAGAGCCTCTTTTACGGGGCGGGGAGAAAGTTTGTTTTGATTTGGACATACTGGGCTTGAGGTATCTGCAGGACGCCCAGGTGGGGAGATCTAGTTACTAGACATTGGGATATTTTGTGAGTAGGGTCAGAGTTCCCGGCTGCTTTTGAACAAAACACAGAAATCTCCTGTCTGCCTTTAAATAATTTGAACCTTCAAAATAAGAAGACAATCAAGATGGCAGAGGAGTGAGTGGAAGTCATCCTGACCTCCTCCCAGGACCAACTGGGAATTACAACTAAATGGTGGAGAAATCACCTGGAACAAACAACTGAACAATAGCGAGAGAGGAGCCTTGTAACCTCGGAGACAGAAGAATCGGCTTTAGCGCAACCTAACTGGTCAGGAGTGCGGTACAGACCTGAGAAGGTGGGTGGGGTGCCCACGGGGGGCAGCACCCGAAGGATATTGAAATGGCCCAGTTGGATCCCCCTGAGAAGAGTGGGGTCTAAACCAAAAGCGGGGATCTCCAGCCTGCAGCACCAGAGCCCAAAAAGTACACAGAAAACAGCCAGCTGCGAAGAGCAGCAGGGTTGCTCTCTGCCAGAGACAGAAGGCTAGAGACGCAAAGAACTGTTTAAAGGGCCAACGCATACATTTTTATTCGCAGCCACTTACCCTGGTCTCCAGAAAAGGCAGGGGCAGAGTGTACTAGAGACACCTGAGGAGAGACTGGGGAAGGGGGCTTAGGGGAGAGAACTGAGAGAGTAACTGGGGGGATCTCGGTGCTGACTCATCCCCCATGCGGCAGCAGCCATCTTGCTCAGGCAGAAACCACTCCCCCTGAATGGTAGCAGCCTCAGAGGACCCAGTAGCCCCACCCCCAGGTGGGATTCCACTCCGCCCTGTGCTGTCTACTCCGCCTGCTGAGTGCAGAGTGATTAGATTAACAGCTGAAGGAGACTGCCACAAACAGTAGATTACTGGAAGTCTAGAAGCAACTGCCTAAGGTCAGACAGGGATGACATCTGACACCATCAGAGGCAGATCCAGAAAGTAAAAACAGCAGTCTCCTACCACAGGAGTTCACACCACAAAGTCAGGAAATCAAGAGAGATCAACTTAAGAAGCACAAACAAAAAAGAAGAGTCTCACAAATAATGGGAAGACAAAGAAATACCTCCCCACTCGAAGGGAAAGGAGGAATCCCCAGAAAAAGAACTAAATGAAAGAGAGGCAAGTTGAACTATCAGATACTGAGTTCCAAACAACGGTTCTAAGGAAGCCCAATGAGCTCATTGAGCTCAGAGAGAATTACAAAAATCTACAAGGAAACTACGAGGAACTTACTGAAAACTATATCAGCAGGAAAAAGGACATAGAAACTATCAACAAGAGACAAGAGGAAATGTAGAATACAATTTCTGAATTGAAGAACACAGTAGAAGGAATCAAAAAGAAGGCTAGATGAAAGTGAGGACCTAATCAGCGAACTGGAGGATAGGTACACAAAAGCTCCCAGAAAGAGCAAGAAAATGAAAAGACTCAAAAAGAATGAAGAGGCATTTAGGGAAATGCAGGACAACCTGAAACGTAATAATATCCGTATAATAGGGATACCAGAAGGAGAAGAGGATGAGGAAGGGATAGAGAACCCGTCTGAAAAAGTAATGAAGGAAAACTTCCCTAATTGGAGGAGAGAAAAAGTCACACATGTCCATGAAGCACTAGCGTCCCATTCAAGAGGAACCCAGTGAGGCCCACTCCAAGACACATCATCATTAAAATGGCAAATATCAAAGATGAACAGAGAATCCTAAAGGAAGCAAGGGAGGAAGAGGTAGTGACATACCAGGGAGCCCTGGTATGACCAGGAGCTGACTTCTCAACAGAAACACTGCAAGCCAGAAGGGAATGGCAAGAAATATTCCAAGTCATGAAAAGCAAAGGCCTGCAACCAAGACTGCTCTACCCAGCAAGGCTCTCAATTAAAATGGAAGGCAAAATAAGGAGTTTCCCAGAGAAAAGAAGGCTAAAAGAATATACCTCCACCAAACCAGCACTGCAAAATATGCTAAAGGGACTGCTTGAAAATGAAGAAAAAAGAGTGTATGGATACCCAGTTCCTTTCAGAGTTGCCAATACTTGATATTACCAATATTTTTAATACTTATTAATCTGATTGTGACAACGATGTGTTATTTTAACTGTTCCTTTACTATTTGTTCAAACTAAACCTGTTTTTGTCTATTTCTTGCCTATTTCTATTATTTTAAAAAGCTTTAATGACTTTTTGGTATTCTTTTAAAAAAACCCCCCAAAATACATTAAAGACAGTGACAGCAATTCACAGTGGTAATTCTGTGATGATGTGTGATGTCCATAAAACTAGGAAACTGTTTTCTGCTTGCGGTCATGTGGCTGGTAGAACATAGCACAGTTTCTCTCTGCAGCAAAGCCTGCTTTATGTCTTTGCATCCACAAAACTGCAAAAAAACCCCCGCAGATTTGAGAGATTTTGAGAGGCTTCCTCCTGGATCCCTTGAAGTTATTGACATAAACTGCCGTGGAAGGTGTGGAGGAGACCTGAGATGGCCAGAGGAGATGGACAAGAGCTGGTAGAAGACACTGAAAAATATCCCAGGACTGGCCCTGGCTGGTGCGGCTCGGTGGACTGAGCGCCGGCCTGCAAACCGAAGGGTCGCTGGTCCAAGGCCCAGTCAGGGCACATGCCTGGGCTGTGGCCCAGGCCCCCAGTAGGGGGTGCACGAGAGGCAACCACATATTGATGTTTCTCTCCCTTTCTCCCTCCCTTCCCCTTCTCTCCAAAAATAAATGAAGTCTTAAAAAAGAGTCCCAGGATTGCCTTTGGTATAAACTCTCTGGCAAATGGAGCAAGGCTTCCCTCGAGTCGCAGTTTCTCCTATCTTCCCTCACGGAGCCACTTTTCCCCTCGGGATTGCGGGCGCACGGATTCCTGGTGTTCCGGGCCACGGGCCTGTGCCCGCCCACGTGGCACTCCCTGCCTGGTGCACTTTCTTCTCTCTGTCCATCAAATCCCACCTGAAGGCCTCCTCAGCCACCTCCGATCTCGTGTCTGGCCCTCTTTTCAGTGGCTGTCATCTTCATTCTTGTCACTCCCTAGGCAGTAGCCGCCGTCCTAAAAGCAAGGGCTGGTCTTAATTATGTTTGCAGTTCCAATGAGAAACAGTGCAGACAAAGAGCAGAGCGTGTTGGATGTTCGTTGACCAGCCCGATGGAAATCAGTCCATTAAGAGGTGTGTAAACGTTTGTGGGGTCGATTCCAATAATAGCCTTCCATGCTGGTGCAATTTTGAAAGTCAGCTGCCTGAACTCAACCCAGCCCTTAAAAAGCAAGGCAGCGTTCTTATTCTTCCCAAGAAAGGAAATGAACATCTTCAACACAGGAAGGCTGCTAATGATTCCAACATCCACTAGCCTTCGGTGGTGCTCTGAGAACAATCAGTGGGAAACACTCAGGTACAACAGAAGGCCTCATGAAATGCAAGAGCAGGCTTCTGGTTTCTGCACAAGCATGCCTATATTCGAGGCTTTATTTATACTTAAGCCTGGTTGTCTTAATGTGTGTGAGCACTTATTTCCTCGAGGCAAACCCACTTTGTTTGGGCAAGCAGACTGACGGCCACTCAAGGGATGTTCCAAATGAGGCCATTGCGACCGTCCTTTCCCTTGAACGCCAAGAGCCTCTTGGAGATGCACATGCAGAGAAACATAGAT